GAAAGTTTTGAATTTGTACTAAACTTATCAAAGCTTTTTGTTACTTAATTTTTAGCTAACTCAGTATTATTATGCCTAAGACCAACACTTGCAGTTAGAGTAATTTTTAAAGTGTTACATCTTTGTAGAGTTCATACAATCTTAGTACCACCCTTTACAACCTTACTAATACTTTGTATGTTTTTGCAAGTCTTTTTATACTACTAATTTAGTTAGCACTATATAATATAACTTCATATTTAGTTTAATTAGTAAACTTCTTTATTTAGAATTCTTATCTGTATAGGTTATTTGCTTCAGGTTTTTATCTTTGGATCAAGATTTTCATAAATGATATCATTAAAGATCATACTATTTTTCCACTCAAGATTTTTAAATAGAGCTTCTTATAAAGTATATATTTTCTAAATTTATTTATATAATATTGCACACTTTTAAAGTTAGTTTTGATATAACTAGAATTACAAAATTACAACTCAGATATCCTATACAAGTTGTTAGAATAGAATTATTTTTTAAATTTCTACTATCAGTAAAATTTGAACTCTGAACCTACTGCTTGAAAAATGACAACCTAACTATTACACTAAGATTACTATTCTTTACTAATAATATTCTTTAAACTGTTTTCTAGGCAAATTTCTCTTAATTTTTAAATTAAATTTAGGATATTGCTATTGCCACTCCTATTTTTGCTAATGCCACTCTTTATATAGTTTAACTTTAATTAAGAATTAGGATTAGGAATGTGAAGACCAATCAGATTAAGTGAGAAAATAGTATTAGCAAAAATAGAAGATAGCAATAGCAATTCTTTAAATTTATTTATTTATTTTTTTTGATATTAAGATAACCTCTTTGGTCTTTTGACTTTTATTAAAAATTTTTTTAGTAATGTAATTTTATGAACTACTACAGAAGAGTATACAATTGGCTATACATATAACTTTTTTATATTACTTATTTAAAAAGTCTATTTAAAAGTTCATTACTAATTGCTATACCTAACACTCCTGTTTGAATGTTTTACTTTAAACCTTCTGAACCTGTAATCTATATTAACTCACTAAGTCATATCCAAATGCCCAAATTATTATTTCAACCTTAGGACTATTTTATTTTTAAGATAAACTTTCTAGAGTTTTTTTTATATATTTTTATAGCTGATTTAAGTATCACTATAACAGAACTAACACTTACAATTAGAGTTATATTATTTAATCACTATGCTCTTGTAGAGTTCACACAAACTCTAGCATCTACTTCATAGTATAACTTCAGTACTTTAATATACTCCTGTTTTTTGTTCAGTCTTTTGTTTAGACTCTTAATTCAGATAGTCCATGTAAAAATATAATCAGTTTATCAATATATTAAATTAATCTAATATTTTTTTCTTTTAGTTTATTCTAGTAGTCTAATTAGTGATACTTTTAAGACTTCTAATATAGAGGTTTTTGCCTATCTGAATATTATAACCTCAATATTTATTTACTAGATCTAGCCTTTACAGTAGAGCTGTTAAAAATCTGGTTACCTTTTTACTTAAGTCTTCTCAAATAAACTTCTTGTTACTTAATTTCAATAAATTTACATAGTCTCAAGAACTTATCTAGTGTTTGCACTATCTGATTTGTCAGTTTGTATTCTTTTATATAATAAGTTACACAAATGTCTTATAACCTGCCAGTCATGCTAGTGTAACTGCCATTACAGATATTTTAATTCAATTATTAGTAATAGTTATTATAATACAAATATTATATAGATAATTATTAAAATTTTCATTATTAATAAGATTTGAACACCCAATCTATTATTTGAAGAGTTGACAACTTGACCACTTCACTAGGTTACCATACTTCTTAAATTAAATTTGGTATTTTTTAAATAATACAATAAATTATTAATAATATAAGTTACAGTTTACTTATAAAATATTTTATTAGAAATATATTTTACAAACTTTATTAAATTTTTTTTTTAAAATTAATAAGAAATTTTTGAATAATAAAAATTTAAAGATTTTGTTTAAAAATTTTTATTATAAAAAATTTTTTTAATATTTTCAAGATTTTATATATTTCTGAAACTAAAAAAAAAATTTTTTTCTTAATTTAAGTTTAAATTTTTACAGATAAATTAAAAAAGTTATATTAATAAAAGTTGTTATCTTTTATAGAAGCTATAATATTGTATTAAAAACTATAAATTTAAAATTAATATTTAAAAAGTTTGCCAAAAATTAGTAAATATTTTTTTGATTAAAATTTTTCTTTAAATTTGTCTATTTGTAGCTTATAAATAATTTAAACTTTTTTTTATAATATAAAATTAAATATTACTATATTATAAATATTATCAAACAAAATTTTATTTAAATATTTTAAAATTTAAAAAATATAGATTATAAATATATTTTTATTAATTTTTTAGACAAATTTGCTTGAAAATAGTCTACAGTTTAAGAGATAATATATTAAACTAAGAATATAATGACTTAGTAAAGTAAATAAGTTATCAACTTTCTAAATTGCAAATTGCAAATTCAAAATCTACTAATAATAAAATTTAGATTTTTATCTATATTATAGTAATTGTTTCTAATAATTAGATTAAGATATTTGTAATTATAATTGCATTAATATAAGTAATAGATTACAAAATATTTATATAACTAGTTATATCAAAAAATACAAATTAGTATTAAATGATAAAAATCCAAAATAAGTTCATATGACTATATAAATTTATAAAAATTAAAAAAACAAAAAGTCTATTTAAAAAGTTCTAAGCAGAAAAATAGTATAGATCTTTAATAATACTATTATAAAAACTAGTTTTAGAAAACAAATACCAATATAAAAAAACTAGACAGATAAGAACTTTAAATAAAAAATATTACAATTTAGATTATCAAAATCAATTTAGAAAAAAAGATTATTAGGCTAATCTAATATACTAATAAACTAACTATAGTTTTATTAAACTATTTGGATTAAAAGTCTTAAAATAAAAATAGAGTATACTAAAGTAATTTGAATATACTATAAAGTAGTACTAAAATTTGTATAAACTCTGTAAGAGCATAGTAGTTTAATAACTAGCTTTGATCACAAATATTGATTTAACTATAGCAATATTAAGTTAACTGTAAAATAAATATACAAAAGACTTTAAAAAGTTTATCTTAAGAATAAAATAATTCTAAAATTAAGATAATGATCTGAATATAACCTAGTCAAGTTAATATGAGTTGTCAATTTAGAAGATTTAAAATAAAATATCTAAGCAAAAGTGTTAGATATGACAACTGGTAAGAAACTTTTAGACAAACTTCTTGATTAGATAATATAAAAAAGTTATATATATAATTAATTGTACATTCTTTTTGTAATATTTTCACATAAAACATATTATCAAAAATGTTAATAAAAGTCAAAAGACTTAAAAGATTATCTTAAAAAAAAAATAAAATAAAAATAATATATTATGCTATACTAATAATCTATTTTGCAATATTTTTTTTTCTTAAAGATTTTGTTTTACAAAATTTCTATAACTTTTATATCATATACAAAAGTTAACCAACTGACTAAACTTGAATTTGCTTGTTTAGAATCATTATTAGAAATTTTATCATTTTTTGTAATTTAATAAACATAATAATAATAACTTTTTTAAATACTTTTTTTTTAAACACTTTTAAATAATTTAGTAATTAAATAAGTTTTGAATACTATTTCTGAATTATTATCTTAAAATAATATATTACAAAATAATATATTACCTTAAGATAATATATTGTCTATATTACTACAAACCAATATAATTTTTCAAAATAATAAACTATTTTAAAATAACATATTGTCTTAGGATATTACAATTAAAAATAAAAATATAAAGTATAAAAAAAAAACTTTATTTATTACTTAATCATATTAAAACTATTATTAACAAAAATACTCAATCACTAAATGCAAAGTGGTAAATTGATTTTATTAACAAAAATTTTATTGTATTACAAAAAATAATAGATGATTGTATATAACTTAAAAAAAAACAAAATTCCAAACACATAAGAAAAACATAACAATAATAATTTCTGGTTTTAAATTTAAATATATATCATAATTTTAAGTCTATATTGTAGTAAAAACATTTTAGCAATGTATATTTGAACATTAAAATAATCGAAAATAATTGTATTATTTTCCTTAATATTGTTTTAAATTTAAAGTCTAGCTTAATTAAAGTTTTTTTCTTAATGTTAGAATTAGAATAAAGCAATTAAAAGTTCTTTTTCCAATGCCTTAGTAAATAAAATATGCTGTAACGAAAGCGACAGCCGTAGTAAAAGCATCAACTATCCTTTGTAAAGCAAAGGATAACGGTCTTCGAAATAAATAACACTCGAGAGATTTCTATTTGACTTCATAAAACCCACTTATACTTGTTTATTATAAATTCTACCCCTAAACACTAACCCTAACCCTAAAAAAATGCACCTTAAAAATTTGTATTTTTCGGTGGCTTGTCTATTTGATATTATCACTTATTTCATTTAATCTGCCACAATTACTATGTCCCATAACGTCATTTTCAAGGCACAGACCACATATTTTTAGGGCGTCCTTAAAATGTACCCGGGGTATAGGTTCTTAACCTATGAATTAAATTTAAAATAGTCATCACGTGCCAACTAACCCTAACCCTAAAAAGCTAAAATTGAGACACAGGATAATATATTTTTAAACTGCGCTATACCGGAAAAATCATTTCACGTGATCAGCGAAATTTTTTTGATTGGTAATCACATGTTGATGAAATATGGCCAGCATTAACAGCATGGCCGGCTTTAGAGTTAGGATTGGCGTTAGGGTATAGCGGAATTAGTCACATGTATGCTGCGCAAATAAATATGGCCCTCTATCACGTGAACGTGAAAATAGTTGTCGAAATTTAATTTTCTTTGATCCCATACGATATTATTGGAAATCATGGAGAATAGTTTACCCAAATTGTCCCTTGAGCCTCGTTTAGGCTCAGCTCCGTTCGAAGTGAACGAACCCGATGGGTCTGAAGAATACATGCCGTAGGAATAGTTTCGCTTATTAATTTTTTTTTTTTTTTTTACTCTTAATTCTGATCAAAAATCGAGCACCAATACCATTTGGGTATCCATTTCAACAACAGTAAGCTGACTCCAAACGAAAAACTTGAAATTCAAGTTAAAAAAATACATGAACAACGTGAATTTAAGTCACTTACGATAGATTCGCTAAATAACATTGAAAATGAAAAAGATATTGAGAGCAAAATAGAAAAATCGCTTTCCGACAAAAGTGCAGATCTCTTAAAAATGAATGAAGCAATTATGAAGAATGTTATGTATGAATAACTCTCCTTTACTTCATCTATTCGCTTACACCTTTTTGTTATTTAGTTTTAACGATCTATTTTTGAATCGCGTTCCTAAATCTGTTTATTTCAGTGCATCACATAATGAAATTGCAATTGGAATTGATGTTATGAATCTAATATTAGCTGAACATAAGACAAATTTTATTCCTAACAATCCGTATCCGGTTACTCCCGGTTTGATCTCTCACGATTATCCTTTCTATCCCCAGCCCAGTAAAGATTCTCAAGTTCAAGATATTAAATTGATGTTGGGAATGAAACGAATGGTCTAGTATTTAATTTCATGGGCACGGATTGTCTTTTTTCGCTCAAATCTATAATCCCTCTCTCTCTTTTTTTTTTAAATATAATAGCAACTCAAAAATTCTGCAGATATTTTATTTTCTGCTGCTTCAAGACTAGATGATATCGTTAACAATGAAAAGACATTCTGGAATGAAATGTTATCACTACGAGAACATCATTGGAGCTTACGTCGTGGTGATAAAGAAAAGAATATCGGACAGCAGATTTTTGTCCATTATGGATATGCCGATGGTAGGCTTGCAATAATTCGATCGTATTATAAGAATCGTTATTTATTAAATATTTAATCATTGTAGTTGGTTCGAATCATGGGGATGTTTCAAAAGCACAAATATTAAGATCACCCGATGAAAAACAAGTGGCTGTATCATTACCTCAAAAAGCCAAGAAAGCAGTCAAACTACGGCTACAACAAAGATCAAATAGTGCACCTTCTGTTCAAGAGAATTCTTGTAATTAATTTATTCTTGGCGACCTTTTAAAAGAAGGGACAACCAATTCTTTAATATATATATATATTTTTATTTAAGTGCTTCATTCAGAATCAGCCGAAGGTTCAAACATTCATCAGCAACTTATTACCGCTCAAAAAGCTATTTTTGAAGGAGAGTTATTTGACCAGGTATGTTATATAGTGGCACAAATATTGGGTGTTCATTTAATAGTTTACAATCAATGTATACATGTTTGCATACTTTCTTATATTTGAAGTAACATTTGTTGTTAGTTCTGATTCATATTTATATCTGTTCTCTTGTTTCTTCCAAAATCTATCTCAAATTTAGCTAGTACGAGAAGCACGTAATACGCCTGGTATCACGTTAATTGAGAATGAAATATTCGTTCGGATATATGAAGGTGTGGATTTAACGATTCAATGGGTACGTTTAAAGGATCAAAATTTATGATCTAAAAGCCATTTCGTAAATGATACTAAACAATATTTTTAACAGGCCAATGTTGACACTATTGAAGAGGCCCCATCTGCAGATGATGCTTGGACTTCGGAAACGGATAATTTTTATATGACAATTTCTCCAGAGCAATCTGCATCATCTACATGCACAGTATTGAAATTAGCAATGGATCTTTTATTAAGGAGATGTCATCGGAGACATTTACTAAAACAACAAGAACGCGTATTAAACTGGTCTAGAGGTATGCCTAGAGAAAGGTACGAACGCGTAACATTTTTCCAGTACAGTACGATTGTTTAAAAGCACTTGTGTCAATAATATACTTTAATGATTTTACTAGTTCTGGTACTCAAATCCTCAACCAGATTATTCATCTACTTAAGTATTATTTCTTTTGCAATCACATACGAGATATTGTAAAGGCTTCTACACTCGCACTGAGCAGTGGTGGAGTGCCTGTACAAATTCACTTTATTTCTAACCTTGCTAAAGGCAAAGATTTGATAGAAGATATATGGAAAAAGATTGGAAATGATAAAACTTTCCTTTTTTCTGGTATAATGATTGTCACTATTGATCACAGGTATGTTTGAATATTTTTATAATGCAATTCACAAAATTCCGGGTTGGAATTCATCGGAGTTGGGTCGTCATTAAACAATACTATCTATAGCAAAATTATCAGTTAGACATTTTTTAGTTATTTAATAGTCAATGACTTCATTAGTAAGAATTTGCGATTTAGGCAAAATTAGTTAATTTGATCCAATCACGATTCCTATATATTTCGACTCGAAATTTTGAGGGGTTGTGTTTAAATGTATAAACATATTTTTACCCGGAGTGTGTCAGAGAACCTACGTTAAATTCATGTTTCGAGCAACATGTCCGGATGTTTCGATACGCGACATATTTACTAAATTACGATTGGGTAAAAATACAACCAGAAGGTTGAGCACACGATATAATTCTGATTGGGTGAAAATTACCATCTTATATACCGGATCTTAACGTTTATACTTTTCTAGTCTTTATAACTCCCTGGTTCTTATTGTAATCTTGCTTTAATTTTTCAAAAGACACAGTCTTCGATTCACTTTAGAATCACCAACATCAGTGATTGTTCATCTACCACATGGTGACATAAGAACACGTGGTCATGCACAATTTCAAGATTTGTTTTCAAGAGAACTCATATTATTACTATTAAGAATTATTCATGAGCAATTAATATATTTAACTGGTTTAGATAATGTGGTGTCGGGTGGAGGTAACTGGTGTGTGGATATAGCGTTATTACTTATATACAAAGATATACCACCTATAGTTTCCGAGTCTTCTGATAAAGAGATTACGCAAAATAAATGGTCAAAATCCTTTTGGAGACGTCCTATGTAAGTCTTTAAACATGATCATTTTACATTAAACTCGTCATAAATCTTATGTTCTTTTATTTGGATATGTTTAGAAAAATATCAATTATAAACGGTCAACCTTCACCAGATAAGTTGACAGTAAAAATTGATGCTTTTGGAGTAAGCGAAGGGCCTGAATTAGTTATTGGTGGTATTAATAATGAAGGAAAGCACATTAGAAAAGAGTTTTGGGAAATTATCTACGAATTTTTGATTAGCCTAATGTAATTAATTTATAAAACATTGAACATTACGTAAGCAAAATAATGTAAAAAATTTAGTATAAAAAAATCTTGATTAAAAGTTATAGAATCAATTTATACACGTAGCTTTGATTAAAAAGATTAAAAGTGTGGTGAAATAATTTCACTACTATCATTAGCAAAAAATTTTAAGTGATATACAGTTGACAATGTCTAAATGCATACTGTCTAATTGCATATACTGCTTAATTGCATATACTGCTTAATTGCATATTATTTCTGTCTACCAATCTAGTTCTTAATGATAAATGCAAAATATTTTAATTGCATAATGCATAAAAAATAATTAAATATGCATTTTTAAAAAAATACAAAATATTTTCAATTTTAAATTTTTATTAAGTTAATATATTAAACTTTTAATAAAAATTGTAAAAGATTTTTACAATTTCTAATAATAGTTAAATCATTAAAATCAGCCTAGTAAATCATAAGATATAAATTAAGAAAGTTTCTTTAACTATATAAAATTTTTTCATGAAGTTTCAAAAAAGATTTATATAATTAGAAAAGCTTTTTTATTTATATTTTATAATTTATTAGGTTAATTTTAATAATTTAACTATTAGAATTGTAATGATATATATTTACAATTTTTATTAAAAGCTCAATAAAAAATTAGTACAAACAAATATATATTTATAAACTATTAAAAAAAAAGTATATTCTAAATACTAATGCAAAAACCCTCACAATAAATATTTTTAATTTAGCGAAAAGAGTTAAATTTTTAAAATTTTCACTTTTTTCATAATTTATATTAAAAAGTGATTTTCATTTCGTGCAATATAAAATAATTCAAAAAAACTTTCTAAATAATTCGACCATTGTCCATATATAGGTTTAATTTAATTAGTTAACCGACCACCCCAGTGAACCGTTGTTTACAGCAACCCTAATAGGACTGTGAAAGAAGATTTTTAGACCAAGTGTAATATGAAAACCATGATTTAGCAAAAAAAAATATCCTTGCAAAATTCCGATATAAATCTTAATATTTTATTACTTTAAAAAATTCTGTTCGATTTTTTGGATGAGATTTGTTTAGTATCAACCTCTGATTCAATCATTAGTACAATACACATTATATCTATACTTGAAGAAAAATCTCTATGTACGGTAAAAACACTATGAGGGCAACTTTGTCATATTCTACATTACAATTATTTTTTACCCACTTTTTGAATACGCCAAGAATTCTCATTAGCGTTAGACATACAATCATCTGTAATATTATTATAAAGTTACTATATATTACTTTTAAGCTCTTTCTCAAACAAGTTAATTATGCTTTTATGTGTTAATTAAAAGGTTTAACGCATATATTTATTGTATATAACTATTTTCCTAGTTTACGAATCATCTTTAATTGAGGTATACTCAGATAGGGTGAATTCCAAAGATACACAAGATATTTAAAGTTTTGTTCGTGAAGAGTCTTCTGTAGTGTTATAAGCGACGATTACATTTTTTTTTTAAAAAAAAATAACTATGTTGGAAGGTAAATTTATTCTAAACTGTATAGATTCAATTGTATAAAATTAACTGATCACAAGAAAATTAGTTGTGCTGCTACGATTTTTTGAATATAATTGGGAAAATAAAACTTGGAAACAAGACGTTTTGAGCACGATAACGCAATATAAAATTCATACATTACAATAGTATATACAGCTTCATGAAAAAAAACCTTTAAGTTGACAGTATGGCCGATTGTTTATTTAAAACGTGAAATTACAAAGTTTACTTTATTTCAAATAACACTGCCTCTTTCAGAAAAAGTCTATATATCAAATATAGTCACTATTGAAATTTTCAGAAAGCAATTATGGTCAATTCAAGTATATTGGATCAAGGATACTGTAATTATTTGCAGTTGATTTTGAAAAATTTTAAACTCGATCAAATGTTTTAAAAAATAAAATCAGCAATAACTGGTCGATGATCGCTAATATATAAACCATCATCGTACAGATTAGACACTGTCCCATGATTTAAAATTTTAATATTTTGTTCCTCCAAACTATTATGATTAACCATGATGAAATCAATTCTAATAGGTTTAACATTTGATGAAAATCCTGTAAAGGTATTGGAGAAACCATAAGAGGTTTCAATTGATCGGTTACTAATCTCATATCGTGTATCACCGAATGGTATTAAAGTATGATCTGATTGTGATTTATCATTATTGTTCACGTATTTCTTTCCAGTAAGTAATTGATAAGGTTCATCATCTTCTTGACAATTGAAGTCACCAGTTAGAAAAACTATATCAGGTGACTTTAATAAATCTTGAGAATTTTTTAATATAAGTTTTGCGCTTTCTTCACGCGAGCGAGACCCTTTATCATCGAAATGAGTGTTAATGAACCAAAACTTTTGACCAGTGATTAGATCTTGAAATCTATTATGTAAAAAATGTTAGATTCACCATTATACATAATATTGAATGTTGAATACATAGTTTTTTTAAAGCCAAACCTTGCTTGAGTAACAACGCCTTTAAAATGGGATCAATGAATAAAATCCTTATGTAAACTTTGATACAGATAAATTCGTTGTAGTCATATATGAAAATAACTTACGAGGTAAACTAGAATCCCAATCTTTACTACCAGGAATATCGGGTGTCTGTAAAACAACATTGGAATTAATATCTAAAAATATTCCCATAAACTATACATGAGTGTCTAAATTATTTTCTTTTGGCGACATCTAAATTGGCGAAATGATTTTCTATTGCCCAAAATATAAATAATTTGATATGTCAAAAATATTTGTATAATGAAAATATTTTTGTATGGCGAACATGGCAAGAATATTTTAGAATACATTTTAGAACATTATAAAAATAGCATTTATTACAATAAGCATGAAATATAAAATCCAGTAATATGGTAATATATATATAAACTGTATGTGAATTTCACTAAGAAAAAACGAGACTTTGGGCTTTCAAATTTATCCTTAGCTATTTATTAGATTCAGCCCATGAAAAGTGATAAAATTTATATATAGTTACGTATTTTAAATGTTACCACCAAGTTTTTAAAGGCTGAATCCGATAAATAATAATGATAAACTTGAAAGCCCGAAGTCTCGGCAACACATATATATATATTTATATCCGGCTCTGGATATACGAACCTTTGACATGAAAATTTTTCGCCAAATTTGTTTTGCATGTAATTTCGCTATTTTTGCTTTATTTTTTTAAATGTATTTTGTTGTACACGCTAGATATATTAGTCTACGCACGGGTTCAAAACTAAAGATACTGGTGAAATTAAACCAGAGTGGGGTGAATTCAGTTTCACCACTATTGGAGAAATTGGTCTCACCAGCATCTCTATTAGAAACCATACCCTGGGTTTGAAACCCTTGCATGTAAAAAATGTATAATGACAAATATGGCACCAAAATTAATAAGGAGATAATGGTAACGGTAACTCTTCCCGCTTGACCTTAAGAAAGTAAGGGAGCGTAAATACACGTGACCACTAAAATTACTTACCGAGCGACGATGACTTGCTGGAGCATTATAATTTGATATAAAGGTTCTAGATCGACCACCTAACCCGAAACTGAGTAGATTTGCATATTTAAAAAAGGCACTGTACATGCTCATTATCCAGCCGTGTCATATTACGAGTCCTTAGGCAAAGGTCAACCAACCATATCACCTAACCTCACGTTTATGTTTGTGCTGAAATTAAGATTCTCTCCCAGGTCACAATACTAGTGATCCCGAAAATAGAATCAATCGATTAGTTGTAAAGTTGATAACTAATCAATTTGAATTTACGAATTCAACTTAGTCGATTAGTAATAATAAAATCGATTAATCGATTAGTTGAATAAAATGGTCTATCAACTAATCGATTGAAAAATTTTCATCGATTTGTATCACTAATCACAACATCTTTCTATAACGAACTCAATTTCATAATAGTTCGATATAAAAAGTGCAATTTATAACTATTTCAACTGGCAAAAATAATTTTAGCGGATAATTTCAGAATTTTACCATACGAAAATAATTTTTCCAGATGAAATAATTTCGGAATTTCGCCACATGGCATTTTGAAGCACCATAGCGAAAATATAAAGAATTTCGACATTTTGTCTGCGGTAATCATCGACGTTTTAGACACTCATGTATATCATAAACGAGTAAAATATGTGGAAACATGTCATACTTTGGATAACCAGTAGAATTTTGATTCTAATAGTTCCATGCGGTTTCTAAATAAATGAATTATTATTTAATCAATCACAATCAAAAAAAATATTAATTAAAACCTTACTTGTTATAAAATATTGGGACGAATTCACCTGAATAAGGCAATATATTAATGTTACGCAGTATCCAATAATGATGGCACCAATTAAAATTCTTGTTATTTTTGCACAAACCTGCTTCTTTACCATCGTCACGGCCCACACCAACCCATTGCCAGTCTTGGCCTAACAAAGCCTCAAGATCCGAAAGTTGGTTTTTGAGAACTTCCTGTTATAGAAATAAGATATATACATTAGATTGTAACCTGATCAATTCGAGTTTATATGCCAACCAACCTGCAGACCAACAATATCAACTCTATGAAACAGTATAGTATCGGCAACCTTTCTTCTTCTACTATTCCAAGGTTTCTCATCAGAAGTGTTTATAATCGTCTCCGTAGAATGATCAGGTAAGACGCGATAAGCATCGTATCGAATGTTAAACGTTGCAACACGAAGAATGTTCGATTTGCTCATGGTTATAGAAAACCAACTTTCAGCAAGTAGGCATGATAGAGGATCTATTTATGCGATTTATTTGTGCCGTGATACAAACCTAAAAAAGGAAAAAAGTAAAAGAATGATCTTTTTATTACACAATAACACGTGAGAATTACAATGTTAGGTTAGTCTGCAAATTATCGATCTAGCCAGCCGATTTTTTAATCGATTTGGTATAGTCAAAAGATGAAATTACAAAAATTTCATATGTAAATGAATGAACCTAAAATATGAGATTAAAGAACAAAATTAAATAGTACTGTAGGTTCGACCAAGCTGACTAAGCCGATAAAATTTATCGAAAAATTATGCTCAAGATCACTATTAGTCAGAACTGAAATTATAGCAGTTCAGTATAGTATAGCAAACATGTATAGTAGAGATTAAGATAGTATGTATAGTTCATAAAAAAACATTCTTTGAGACTTTACCTATAGTCTATACTAACCCTAACATTAAAAAGAGATCATTTATAAAAGATACTTTATAAGTTTCTATAACCATACATACATCCATAAATATTCTTAGCCTACATCTATACTACAAACAGGTTTATGCAATACATTTTTCTGTAATACCCCGCAAAGAAGTATACGTTACACGCCGCAACTAAAATCGAAATACATATGTGGTTCCACAAATAAATTTTGTGAATTTGTGTATAGCGATAGTGATAGATAAATTCGAACTTGCATACAAATGCATTCATATGCGCAATTAAATCCTATAATCCGCAAGTAAAGTTTTTTTATTTAGCTGCGAAAAAATTAAAAATTGAATTCATACACTGGTTACATGATATTATAGATAAAAAATGTATATTATAGGAAAAGTATATCATATGGTAACACATCAGATTCCTTACATTTTTGAATTATGAAAATTATGGAGGATCGACTTTTATCCCTTACACCAGTTTGCAGCATGATTGATGTATCTAACTATATTGGATCACTATACTGGATGTAGCAATAAAGTTCATTTTAATATACATTATGGTAGTAGGATGATGTATGAGATAAGGCGTAAGTTTTTAGAGTTTATTGCTAGTTGCCAGGTTATATTTAGAGTTTATAGATGCAATACGACGGATTTTTTTTCTTATTTAAATATTCCAGATTATCTTAAAATTCTGATCTTGAATTTAAGATCCTCATATCTGTTATAATGATAATGTAGCAATTATAACAGTAGAATATGGTGCTACTCTTCAATGAATATCTGAATTTCGCATAGTTTTGTATAATGTCTATAAAGTTAATAAACCACGGTTTTTAGTGTACTGACTAGCTAGTTAAACTAGTTAGCTCTATTGAATAGATCACGTTTTTAACCAACGATGATTGGAACTAGTTCTCGTGATTGATTTTGTGACATATATTATGACATCATATCATTATTTATATCATTATTGTTTGTTATTATTATAATAAAATTTGCAACAAAACAAAAGTACTTTTAGGTACTCCAAATATATATTAGCAAAGCAGAATTATGTTAATTATATTTAATTTAATATAATCTAATTTAATCTAATTTAATCTAATTTAAACCTTATGACCTTTTTTTAATATAGATATACTATTTATAAATTTTATCGTTTTCAAGTTCGGTTTAGAGATATAATAAACTTTTTTAGAACTAAACCTTTTTGATATAAGCCCGGAAGGTTGGTATAAATATATATAGTTGATTGTATGTAAATAAACAAAGTAGCGGAACATTTGAAGTAACGGTAGATCGTAAATTTTAAATATAGGAAAATTGGAACGTTTATGAGATGTAATTTTATTTTTCGGGCCAATCATTATGTTACACGAACGGACTAATTACGTAGTTATTCACCGAAATTCTATTTATTATAAACCAATAATTAGCAAAGATGAATGAAAGAAGAAATAATTGATAATGGTATGAATTACACAAATCCAAAATTCAAAAAAAGCAAAGAAAAGCACATATCGATTTTAACATAAATTGACAACATTGTTTGGGATGACAAACATGCGTAATTCTTGTTCCAAATTCGTTTACGTTAATTAAACATTAGTTGCACCAAGCACGTATGTTGCGCGAAAATGTACCTTAAGAACTTGAGTTTGTTTGTTTGAAAACTTGAATTCGCTTACTCGGTCACCTATTTCTCTCACATACATACATACACTCTTTTACTATATATGCGCCACAATATAAGCGTTATATGCTTTGTCCTACTTTTAAGTAAACCGATTTCCTTTCTTACGAGTTTTTTTTCCCTCAAGATTAAAAAAAGAGTTAACAAAGGTGTAAACACAATGTCATATCAAAGTGATTCAGAGGACGATTTATTCGTTCATAGTATGAGCTTAAAAAAAGCTAAAGCATTAATAGATAACCCTCATTCTCACCAAGTAATCACTCTTGCAAGTTGTGGTAAAAAAGTTGGTGTCTGTGAAGTTGGAGACCCAGAAGGTTATCCTGTGCTTTGGCTTACAGGTACATACATACATTTATCTATTTTCATTTTTAATCAATCAATAAATTATTTATATCTCATTTTTCATAATTATAATTACATAATTACATTATAGGAAACATGGGTCCAGCAATGTCTATCCTTTTATATCATAATCTTGCAAAACGACATCATATTCGTTTAATTTCGGTGGATAGACCTGGCTATAATGATAGTGACGATATTTATTCACGATCCGGCGTTCCTGATTTATTTGAATTTGCTGATATGATCAACGAATTGACTTTGATATTAAAAATGTGGCAATTTGGTTTGGCTACCTTTTCACTAGGCGCTGTTTACGGTTTGGCTTATTCACTTAATTTCCCTGAGAGAATCAAAGGTCCGATATTTACGATTAGTCCTTGGGTTTCAACTAGTACTCCAGGACATTTACTTTATTATAAAGGTTTGTATAAATTATTAATAAATTTATGTTTATTTATTCTAATTACTCTTAAAATTTATTTTCCCTTTTATTTTTTTTACTCTTTTAAAGGCATCGCAAAATTTGCTCCAAATTTTTTGATCCGTACTACATTAAGCACCCTACCACACATGTCAAATTTTTTAAATATGTGGAGCACATTAGGCTCCTCATCACCTTCTCGTGTTTCTACATCTTCCACCCTTAGATCTCAATCATCATCTGCATCTTCTTCTTCTACTACATCCTCAACAATTGATGATGAACCGATGACTCTTTCCGTTGAAAGTGTGATTAGCACCATATCTCCAGGTCGTAGTTATATACACAAAAAGATTTATCAAAATGGTTTATGGAATTTACAAAATCGTACTGGTGCACATATTGATGCTATGGTAGCATTAGAAAAAGTTGATTGGGGTTATAAATATGAAAATACTACACATCCCATTCAAGCTTATGTAGGTGAACAAGATGAAAATGTTCCATTACAAGCTTGGACGTATATGAGTAGTAGAATGGATAATTTAAAATTAAACGTTGTTAAAGATGGTGGTCATTATTTATTGTATAGAATGGATTTCATGGAAGAGTTATTTACAACAATCGAGTCTGCTATCAATTCATAAATGATTTCAATAGATTAGTAAACTATTAATAATGAGAACGAAGTTGTTTTTTTTTTGATTATTACATAATAATATATTACATAATGAATAGAAATATTATATCGAATATATATTGTATTTTAGTGTATACATACAATTTTTATTAAAGAAAAAATTATTCGATGACAAGTAAAATCACCAAGATTCGAAAAAATCTGGTTTTTATTTTAAACTTTTTACGCATATCAGATATATATTCATAGTTTCCTAATTGTTATACTGATAGTTTATATCAAAGTTAGCGAATTATTAACTACTTACATTTTAAGCAAAAGTAATATTTAACCCAATAACTACCTCAAAGTGAAATTCTAGTAATATTGAACACATAAAGATGAAAAAAGAAATTCATGCTTATAATGATTTTACTGCCAGAACTGCCGATGGAACAAGATCTGTTTCAAAAAAATACATAAGTAAATACATAAACAAGCAAGTAAATAAATAAATAATAAATAACGTGCACATATGCATATACATGTTGCGAGAACGGAATTTAATAAAATTATAATTTTAGGGTAGAATTTATTTTATATGAACCTAACCTACACCCTAACCCTAAATCTAAAATCCTAAGAAATTCCAAATCCACTTAAATTTCTTACAACATATATACAGTTACTTACCCAAATCCTTTAAGGTTTTTTGCATTTCATTTTCTCCAAACACTTTTCTACAAGTACATTTAAAATTAGAATCATAAGTAATAAATAAAGAATCAAACAAATTCTCATAAAGAAAACTTTCTTTATACCTTGGGAATGTCATCATCAATTGGAATGGTCCAGTAACATGTTGACTAACAAGATCGTATACAATTTGTAAAGTATCGGTTGCTTGAAATGTTTGAGTGATAGGTGCTCCTGTTGGTGATCGAATCTTTGGAAAATAATCAAAAAGAACGAACGAATTCAATGTGACCGAACAATTTCAAATATGTAAGGTAATAATTATATTAAGTCAGACCTGTAACCGTGTTTCGGTATATTCTTTCTTTGATGCAGCTAAAGCTGCTGCTTCGGCGGCGGCCTCTTCCTGTTTTTGAGCTTGAACCGCTTGTTTTGCCGCTTCACGCTATAAACATTAATAATTATCTATGGTTAATTTATTTTTAACATAATTTCTCATAAAATTTGTGTCAATAATTTTATTCACCTTTGCCGCTCTTTCTTTTTTATCAGCTTCGATTTGTGCCTTTATTTTAGCCTTAGCAATTTTGTCATCCTCCTTTTCTTTCTTTTTCGCCATCAATAACTTTTGCATTTCCTTTTCTTCCATTTGAGTTTTGGCTTCTGTCAATTCTTTACCAGACTGTCTTCGCATTCTTTCACGAGTTTTCTCCTCTTCTTTGTCTTGAATAGTACGTAATTCTCGTTTTTCAGCCAAGCGTTGTTTCAATTCTAACAATTTTGCTTGCTTTTCCTCTTCTGTCAATGGCTTAATAGCAGTGGTCGATTCAGAAAAATTTACATGACCTGTTTGAATTTATCAATTGTAATTGTTTACTAAAATTAATCCAATTCTTTGCCATAAAGAAATATATACATATATATTATATATATATTTTTTTTCAATGTTAATACCAGTTCTAGTTGCATGAACTTGCGCAGCGCTTGCTAAAATGTTTGTAATTTATTTGATTTAGTTAAAAAAAAAAAAATTGCAATTCATTTATTTTCATTTTCATATGAATGTCAAAAGACATAAAACTTTACCATCACGAAGTAGTTTCTGACAATCATTACATTGTAAAGATTGTGCTGTCTGTTCTCCATCCTGAATTTCACCCTCTCCAAATTGAAATAAATGATTAATAATGATAATCTTTATAAAATGCACCCATGGTGTTTATGATATTTATATATATATTTTTTTTCTGCTAAAATTTAGGGTTAGGGTGCAACTACTGACTTAAGGTAACGGTCAGATATAAAGGCCTAAATTTAGGTAAACATAAGGTTTTTGGAGGTTCCGACCATTATTACTTAGTATACCTGGCCTTAGTTAATTAGATAATTTTTTTGAGATATAACAAACTATGATGTTAAACACCTATGGTGCATTTTAATAGTATTGATTAGAATAATCAAATATATTAATAACTACCATCTTGATCATCTTGATCTTTGGAAGTGCTACCAATAGATTCTCCAGCTGGACGTTCACCTAATGTTTGACCAATTGGTTCGTCTTCAAGTTCACCAGGATGAGCGATTAACCTAAGATATGTTTGAAAAGTATATTAAAATATATTTTTATTACAACATAAAATTCACATATAATATTATTCGTTAATTCACCAATCCATCGCAGGTTGCAGTCCGGCACCTTTTGTAACCTTCATAGCGCGGGCCCTAACATTTAATAAAGTTTATTATCCATTTTTAATGACGTCAAAATATAGATTGCGCAAAATATGTGTCCTATTATAAACACATTATTATAATTATATTTAATGCTTACACCTTGTCCGGAGGAAAGCCCATATCAATCAACGTGTCATGATCTGATTTTGAACTCATAATTGTAAACGTTTAAAGAGAATAAAAAAAAGTATGATCGAACACACATTACGTGTATTAACTTATGATATTTATATATGTACTTACGTACATACATACGTCACTTTGTGCCAAGCTGTCAAGCATGTAAATGCATGCCATTCTTAGTACGTTGTACAAAGTCCGATAATGGTAATTATTATATAGATTATATTGATTATATAAAGATGGCAAGTTTTTTACTTTGCAATTCATATTCTTTAGAAATGAGCAATTTACAAGTTCCAACTAATAGTGGAGAACGACAAGGTTCTCTAATTGACACGATTAAAACCCTTAACTTGGATAATATACAACATGATATACGTCGTAACTTTGCACAAGTAGATCCGAGGCTACCTAAAGAAATAAGAAATATTTCACTTTTAGTGACGGAAGAAAAAAACGTTTTAACAAGTTTGCAACATGTTTCAGCGGAAAGAAAAGAAGGTAAATAATTTTTTTTTTTTAAAAAAAAAAAAAAAGTTCTTTGTGAACTACTTATATCCGAACCTGAATTTTTTCTGATTTTATAAATATATTATTTTTATTTAATTAATAAAGCAAGTAAACTTCTTCATGTGTGGGGAAAAGATGCTGGTGATGACCTTTCCGTATGTTAATCGAACATTTACACATATATGTTTATCTATTTTCTTAATTCTATGATATTGATTCTATGATATTGATTTTACATTAAATTTTTTCTTTTAGGATATTACTGAAAAATTAAGTGACTTATTTTCAAAAATTGCAGATGTCGAAACTGTGATGATTGGTAAAAAATAAAATAAAATTTGTTTTAAAAAAAATTTATTGTCTATTTTACAAAATTATTACTAAAAAATTAATTCTTTTTATATTACAAATTAGAAAAAACTGGACATTACCGTAAACTGCTTAAAAATATCCGTGAGGTAGAAGAAAAATTAATCCCTCATAGAGAAAAAAGACGTAAAATTCAAGAAGAAATTCAAAAAATTAAAAAATCTCATCCAAAATCACCACGTATTCCAGAACTCGAAGCAGATCTTGCATATGTAAATAAAGAAGCTGTAAATGATGAAATAGAGGCTGGAAATGTGATTAGGAAACATTTAAAGGATGCGTTAACATTACGTCTTGATTCTATGTTTGAATGCTCGGAAAAAATTGCAATTGTTACTGGTTTTGGATTGAACATTGTTAATCTAATTGATACTACTCCATGCAAAGTTGGTGAGAAAAGACCAGAATATACAGGTTAATTTTTTTACGATTTTCTTGAAACCTACTATTATTATTATCATTATGAATATTAAAATTAATAATAATAAAAAAAAAAATAGGAAAGGAAACCACCCATCAAATAATCAAAGATTGTCAAGTCTCCTTACTTCGTTGGCAACCATCATCTCAAGACATTCATGCACTTTTGCCTGCTTTAACCAACACCGCTCCTGCGGCGTTGGCTGCTCAAAAAGAAGAATATGAACAAAAGCTCCATCAACTTACTAATTCAATGAATGTTTTGAAAGAGGAGCATGATAAACAAATTAGTGAATTTTCTAGTAAATCGGAAAATCAGAAACATGAATACGAGGCGCAAATCAACGATCTTGTTGCATCTTTAGCTGCTCAAAAAGAAGGTTATGAGGCACAACTTAACGATTTATCTGCTGCCTTAACCGGAGAAAGGGAAACATTTGAACTGAAAATTAAAGACTCTAACGCTTCTTTAGAAACTCAAAAAGAGCAATATGAAGCAAAAATAAAAGATCAATCTCAATCTTCGGAGGCAAAAATAAATGAATTGACTGCTGCATTAGATGCTCAAAGGAAACAGCATGATGATCAACTTAAACAATATAATGCTTTATTGTCTACGAAACAAGAATTTGAAATTGCATTGAGAGAACGTGACTCAATTATTTCTAAACTTCAAAGTGATATCAGCAGTGTTGCAAGTGAAAAAGGAAAATTAAGTCAAGTTGTAAAAGAATTGGAGGAAACTATCAAATCTAAATCGACCACAGTTGAACAAAAAGAGGATAAAGTTGGTAAATTAGAGAGTGAAATTTCCAGTATAAAGAATCAACTTTCTAATTTATCAATTAGCGCACATGTTACAACTCCGCTCTCAGATCCAGGTAATCGTTCTAATAGTAAATCATCAAATTTGACTGATGAGGCTTCTTCAGACCCTCTAATTGGACCACATGTTCCACCATTCCAAGCTGGTGGTCAACAACCGCCACCATCTGGTGGTGGATATGTGTACCAAGCACAATATGGAAATTATGGTCCACAACCACAATTCTATCAAGGTCAACAACAGTTTTATAGTCCGGGACAATCACCATATGGCTACCAGCAACAACCCATTTATGGGCAGCAAGGACCACCTTCAGGTTATCAATCAGGTTATCAGCAACAGCAACAGCAACCTTACGGGCAACAAGGTTCATTTGTTGGTGGATTCATGCTTCCCGACGATGCTCCTCCAGGTTAGTGATCAAAATGCTATTAAATATAGTATGAATGGTAAACATTATTCTGTACTAATGAATTAAATTTATTATTTAGCATATGATGGTCCTAAAGATGGTTTTAAAGATGATAAAAAAGAAAAGAGCTAGAAGTTATTAGGCTTTTTTTATGAAATCTAAGAAATTTATATTTATATTTATATTTAAATATTCCAAGTTTATATTTGCGGAAATGTAATTATTATTTATACAATATTAAATCATATTCAATAATTCATGTATTTTTCATTTAACAAGAAATAGTGATCGGGCTGTGTTAAAATTTACGTAATTTCTTATGATTATATGGAAATATAAACATTTTTGTACAAATAATATAAAATAACAAATAAGAATTCATTGTATTTGTATCCATGTCATAAATTAGGTATCAGTCATAGATTTAGGTATCACTAAATCATACGAAACATGCGCTACACGAATATCGGATAAAAGTTTTTGAATTAAATGCGTGCACCTTTATCGATAGAAGTACTATTATAACTATCGGTTGCACCATAATACGGTAAAGGTGATGGTGTGTCATTTCGAGAGATGTCATCGTGTTCTCCAAGTAATCCATCACTAAAATCGGTACTTTCTTCTTCAAAGACAATAGTATTTGCACGTAAGAATAAGTCACGATGTCTAGTGTCAGTCGTAATGATAACGTTTGCTATCCAATGCAATTGAAGAAAGAAGAAGGATGAAGCCATTAAGATAAGATCATATCCTTGGGTTGGACGTTTGTGTTGAAACATGAGATTTGCTTTAAAAATTATATACAATGAAGAAATCTAATAGCAAATGTGAAAAAAAATTGAATTTAATAATAATAATAATAATAAATAAAAGTTGACACATTAAAATATAACTTACACAACAAGCGCCGCCCAGTAAGTATCGTGATTTATTGATCCAAGTGGAAGAAGTTACTTTTAACACAACAGCGAATCTAAAAAGGGCTAATATAATCATATCCCATTTAGCTCTATTCCAACGCCAACTTCCAGTTTCAGCACTATGAACCAAAAAATAAGAACAAATAAAAACAATAACCATATCCAAGATACCGAATAAATATAATAAAAATTCATATTTTGGTCTTGGAGGTGGTTTTTGACTTAACGATACCAAAAGAAAAGGGTCAGCTTGACTATCAATAAATATATCGTCATCGGGTGGATTTACAGGAAGAATTATACCGCCAGCATTCGTAATATCTCCATTTGAAAGAATGGGACTTTCCACAAGACCATTTTCAAATATACCAATGTTGGCAGTTGAAGATTCGGCATTTACTTGCGGTATATTAAGGTAATTTGACATATAACGATGTTTTGGTGGTAGTATAGGACGTAGTATAGGTCGTTGATATTCGTGCGATGATTCTGCCGTCACTGCGTTTGAACTTTGCGAGCTCATGATTTATATGTTAGTTTCAATGACTGTACAATAAGATTGTTCCATGTGAAAACTTATGAATTTGCGGGTGTAATAAAAAAAATTAAAATGAAGTTTTTTATATTTTACATAAGCTTTCTCTTTTTTTCATGCAAAAACTTTGCAAATACAACATTTGAGCCTAAGGCAAAAAAGAAAAAAAATTTGTGAAAAAAATTTTTTTTTAAAATGAATATTTGGTACATGCACACAATTTTATGTCTCGCATATTGGAGTAGCTTGTACAACCCAATTTCACACAAACCAATTTTGGTTGAACTAATTTTCGCCTTGTTTTTGAGCATATATATGCAAATAAACTTCTAATTTTATTGCCGGCTATGTATCGTAAACTAAAGGAATAGATAAAATGGATGGATTATGATATCGTAACTGGTTTAACAACTTATTTGTCTGATGTAAGATGTGCAACTAGGGTGTTTTGTATGCCATTGGGCATGACATAACATAATTATATACTTTATATATATATATACCAATATTATTTTTGGTTTAGCCAAATTTTATTTATTAGTTTTATTACGTAGTCACGAGGTATTACGTGAATTTTAATACAGTAAATCATACTGGTAGTATTTTAACACTTGTCAAAAACTAGCTAAATCATTACAGGCTTTGGTCATCAATTTCGGATACCACTACGTATCAAGAATGTACCTATTCTTAAATACTTGTTAATTGATTTTTATTATTAGGGATGGGTACATTCTTGATAAGAGTTGTCCGAAATTGATGGCCAAAAACCGTAATGTCTAATTGTCCGGAGCGAAGCGACCGACTTATATTTCTATACGCTTTTGATGACCAAATTACGATTTTGATGCATTTATAATAGAAAAACCGTAATTTCGGTAATTTCCGCCCCTGAAAAATTACATAACCAGATTATTCAAGGGCCTAAAGCCATTAATCGAACATTTTGTAGTAGGAATCGGTCTAAAATGTTCGAAATCTGGTTATGTATGTTGCAGTTCAAATTTTTCAGGGGTAGAAAATACTATGTTTTTGATATTTCTTTATAAAAGTATCAAAATCGCAATTTCAGTCATCAAAGCACATATAAGTTTATTTCATCAACAATTTTGAATTAGGGTTGACTACTTTATTTTCTGGAGCAAAACGACAGATTTATACTTATACACCCTTTGATGACCAAAACTACGTTTTTGATATATTTATGGTAAATATATCAAAAACATAGCAATATATATAACAAAACCTTTGAGTCAAAAGTATGCTTTTATTATATAATTATAAATCCTAATTATTTTTTTTCAGTCTTCTGATTGCTTAAAGAGTGTTTAGAGGCAGTTTGTTGCACTGATTAGGATGTTATCTGAACCTAAAGGTTGTTTTTTTTTGGTATTAAGAGACCTTTATGGTTTTTTGATTTTTATTAATGTTTTTTTAGTAATGTGACTTGTAAGAAATTATTACAAAAAGAGTGTATAATTGGTTTTATATGTAATTTTTTATATTACCTATTTAAAGAGTTTGCCTAAATGTTTTTTATTAATTGCTATATCTAACACTTCTGCTTGGATATTCTATTTTAAATCATCTGAATCTGCAACTTGTATTAATATCATTGAGTTATGTTTAGGTTATTGTTTCAACTTTAAAATTATTTTATCTTTGAGATAAACTTTTTAGAATTTTCTGTATTTATTTTTATAGTTGATCTGATATCACTATAATAGAATCAATACTTGTAATCAGGACTAGTCATTAAATTATTATATATATTCTTACAAAGTTTATTTAAATCTTAGTATTACTTTATAATCAGAATTAATCAAATTATTAGTTAACTAAAAATTTGTTAGTCAAATTGATCTGATTAAACTGATTAAATGGTTTGATCAAATTGGTCAAATGGTCTAGTTTATTAAATAAATAATTTTAATATACAAATAAATAAATAAATATATTTATATGCTTTATATATTATTTAATTGACCAAATTAGTCAAACTGGTCAAACTGGTCTAATTAAGCTTAATCATTAATCAATTTATATTAATCCTAATTATATTATATTTACCTTTTTAGATATTTATAAAAGTATTTGTCTTCTTTTTTTATCTATTGACTATAATAAAATTAATACAAAATAATACAAAAAATAAATTAAATAATTAATACTTATTTTATTAATTTTTTTTTATTTAAGGTTGTTTTATCATCTGCAGATAGAGCAAAACTTTAATTATTTTCTAATCTTTCTTTATTTTATTATATTTATATATTTAGAAATTATTTAAATTATTATATATATATTATTATTTTTTTAGTATTAAGATAATCTCTTTGATCTTTTGACTTTTTATTAATGACTTATTGGTAATGTGATTCAATGAACTACTACAGAAAAAGAACAATTAGTTATATATATAACTTTTCTATATTATTTATTTAAAAAGTTTACTTAAAGATTTTTCATTAATTGTTATATCTAATACTCTTGTTTGGATATTCTACTTTAAATCTTTTAAACCTATAATCTGTATTAATTCACTAGATTATATCTAGATACTAGATCATTATCTTAACCTTAGGACTATTTTATCCTTGAAATAAACTCTTTAAAACTTTCTGTATTTATTTTTATAATTGATCTAGATATTATTATGGCAGAACTAACATTTGCAGTTAAGACTTAATTATTAAACAGTTATACTCTTGTAAAGTTCATTTAGACTTTAGTATTTATTTTATAACATAATTCCAATACTTTAGTATATCTTTGAATTTTATCAGACTTCTAATTCAGATAGCTGTATAGAACTATAATTAGTTTATCAGTATATTAGATTGGTCCAATATTTTTTTTCTCCAGTTTATTATTTTTAAGACTCCCAACTCAGAGGTTCTTGCCTATCTGGTTACTAAAATCTTGATATCTATTTTCTTAGACTAGCCTTTACAGTTGTACTATTAAAGATCTAATTATTTCTCTACTCAGATCTTTCCAAATAGACTTCTTATTATTCAATTTTAATAGATTTATACAACTATAAAAACTTATCTAGTGTTTGCACTATCTAGTTATTAGTTTGCATCTCTATGTTTAAGTTGAAGTTTTATTCTATATAGTTTTTATTAAATATTCTAAATAAATAGAAATAGTAAAGTTAATTCTATTTATAATTTTTAAAAGCTTACTATAGGAGAGGTGTGGTGACCTAGTGAAGTGGATAGGTTGTCAACTCTCAAGTGGCAGGTCTAAGGTTCAATTCCCATGAACGACGAATTTTGAAAATTATACCTGTATTACGGTAACTGTCTCTTGCCGATCAGTTGGGTTTTGGGCATCTGTAATCTTAGATACACCAAGTTGGGCCCTACCTGACATTGGGAGCTCAGGGCATCTATGCAAAGTGTAATATTACATGGTACATGTACATAAAGGAATATAAAACCAGTGTTATATAAGGCTTCAGGCAAACCCATAATAAGACCACCAGACATAGAAGGCTAAGAAACTAAAAAGATGGAAACTTACTTGGAAATCCTGAGTAAAGAAGTAGCACAAACTTTCGATGATGCCATTGGACTGATAGAAGCCCATGAAACACCTTTATAGGAACTGTCAGATAAACTGAATAACAAAGATGTATAGAGGAGCACATAATCAATCAGGCTGCCGTAATTGCCAGAGGAAAAGGATACATAAGTATACTACACTGGGCCATCTGGATTGGGAGTCTGGGGAAGTCCAGTGTTGGTTCCGAGTTGCAGCTAGTAGGGGATGATAGAGAAGAAGTCAAAAAGATGGATACCAGAGTTTGGGTGAACTTTACAAAGGTAATAGCGATTTAAGGGGTAACCCTGACTGCAAGTATTGGCCCTGGTCATAGCATCAAATCAGGTTAGTGGTAAAAAAGAATACAGCTCACTCTGGTAGGTTTACTTCAAGGATAAAAATAGTCTAAGGATTATAGTCCTAGAGTTGATAATGAACAGATCTGGGTCTGTGACTCGGTGAAATTAATATCAGGGTTAGATCAGAATGTTTAAATGGAACATCTAAGCAGAGGTGCTAGGTACGGCAACTGGTAGGAAACCCTCGGGTGGACTCCTTAAATAGGTAATATAGAAAAGTTATATGTGTAGCCAGTTGTACACTCATCTAATAGTTCATTATAGATACGTCTATATAAACATGTACCCGATATAAGTATTAATAAAAAGCTTAGACCAAAGAGATCACCTTAACATTGAAAAAAAAAAAAAAAGCTCACCATAGGCTTATAATTGTAATTATTCAATAGTTATAAAATAAGAGTCATATATATTTTTTCTTTTTTCTTTTTTTACTTTTTTCCTTTATTTTTTTATTTTTTATATTGTATCTTTTATTATCTTCTTCTATATATCTGTGTTTTTTATATAAGTTTTTTTTTGTTTTTGTTCATTTCTTTATAAGAAAATATTATCAAATTGGCAATATCTTATTGTAAAGCAGTAGTCAAATATAACTTCTGATATATTCTAATTTCTTATAAAGTTAAACAATTAGTGCAACCAGATTGCTTGTAAGGCTTATAGAAGTATCTATGAAATGTTGAGCCAAAATTTATACAAAATTTTTGTATATATATATATAAAAAATCATAATAAAGATAAATTAGCATAACTGCTCAAGTGAAAAAAAATATATTATTATCATATTGTATAATATTTCAAATTATTTAAAATATTAATTCTTTTAATTATTTTTTTTTTATAAATACTGAATCAATTCTGACAATACACTAATTTTATTTTTGAAAATATTATTTTATATTTATATATTTATAAGATTTTGTAAAAAATTTAATAATTTTAAATAATTCACTTATATTTAAATTAATGCAAAATATTTTAATAAAATTTGTTTTTAAATTTTGTAAAAATATTCTTTGATATTAGTTTATTTCTAAAAATTACTAAGATTATATTAGGGCTAATAATCTAGAT